GGCTACCTATGTTAATAATTTAAAGAGAAAGCTCATTATTAAATTATTATGGGTAATTATTTTGTAACTGGTGTGGAAATTGTAATTTCTGCAGCCTTAAAAGATCCTGGAAGGAGTGCATGCAGATCAATATGGATCAAATCCCAGAAAGTGTGAAGATGCACAGGAAGTGTCTAATGTAGGAAATGTTATATAGCTGGGTGAAAATACTAAAATTAGAATGTCATTTTCTATGGTTGCAACTACAAAGCCTTGGGGATTGATGAAGTAAAGTGATGTGGTTGGAGGGTCACAAGAGCCTTTTTAAATCTGGGTTCTGATTTGTTCTGAAGCTGTGTCTGGGAACTGGTGGGGTGGGATCTGTGTGAGTGCACCTTGCAGGGGGCTCAACAACCCCCAGTCCGCATGTTCTCTGACAAAGGGAAGCACACCCGACAGGGTTCTGCAGCTCCAGCACCCCCACTTAGTCCACACCGTACCTGCTGGAATGGGGGCAGAGGCGAGCTGAGTGCCTGCCCCTCAGGATTCCCAGTGGTCAGGTAAATGCTGCTGATTTCAGTGAGTCACTGCTCAGCTTCACTGGGCAGAAAAAAACCTCCTCCTCTGATCCCGTAGATGGTGTGGAGGAGCCTCTCCCTGCCTGCGGCCCCGGACTCTCCATCCCCGGGAGGTGTTTGTGCTGCAGGCAGTGCTCACGTGTTTTTGCAGGTACCTTCACACCCCTCCCCGGCCCCAACAGCTGGTTACACTTGCCAGAAGTTTGTTTTGTTTTGGCGGTGTCATAGTCAGCATGAATGTAATTACCTTAAAAAGGAACTTTTGAGGTGCCAGGCACGTTACCGAGGTAAATGATGCCAGCACGGCCCCTCCAACACTCCCCAATTTCTCAGCATCCGGCCAGTGGTCTCTGCAGCTGGATTTAGCCCGTAGCAAAACTGCGGAGAACAATGAGGTAGAGTGGAACGCCCTCCCTGCTCCCACCAGATGGCCCTCACGCTTTTTTAATTTCCCTCTAAACGGCTAAAAAATGCTCTGCAAGCACTTGGTGAGTTTACAAGGGATGCAAGTCTTTCCCATCACTTTATTTTGGAAGCAGGCAGCGTGGGGTCCTGCCGTGGCAGACACCCCCCAGCTTTCTCGATCCTCCAGTTTTCCTGGGTCTCTGGGCTGAGTTCTGAAAGAGAAACACGGAGGGACTTCAGGAGGGTGCAGAGCAGGTTCTGGAGGTGGGGCTGGGCTGGACCTCACACACGTGTGTTACAGACACATCCAGCGTGTGCACCTGGGCCCCGCTGGAGGCAGGTTGGGCTGTTTCTTGCTCAGACATCAGCCCTCAGTCTTTGCCTGTCAGCAGCTGCCAAATTCTGCCAGTGATGCTTTACACTTTCTGAGAGCAAAGGGACAACTTGGGAAGTAATGAATCTGGCAATAACTTCTTTTTCAGTTGATCTCAGAAAAACAAACAAACAAAAAAACCAGGGCATTTTAAAGGGCCATTTACCATTACCTCTCACTTTGATATTTGAGTTCCAACTTTATGGTAATTTTATAGTATTGAGAAATTCAAACAGAACTTTTCAGCCTGGAAAACTGTGAATCCCTGAGTTTTGGCGCTAGTGTCAACCAGTCCTTGATCCTGGATTTCCTAATGTTTGCATCTTCCCCCCTACGCCAGGATCATTGTCCCTGTGAGAACAATACCGGATCTGGCTCTCTCGTTCCGTGCTGTTCCGGGAGTATTTTAGTGCATTAACCAGTAGGTTTGTTTATGCACTGAAAGGTGCTGCCCAGCCCTCACTGCTGTAAGCTTTTCCATCTGCATGCCCCCATCCTGACCTTGATCTACCGGGGGGGGGCTCCAGAGGGCTTGTTCACGCTCCAGCCTTGCTGGCTTTTCTATCGGGATTAGCTTTAAGGGGCTCGAGTTGTTGAAGGGTTTTTCTACTGATAAATGGATTGAGACCCATATTTTAATCTCACGTCATCAAACATTCATCAGATACTCTTGGTCATTACCGACAGAGCCAGGTTTGAACTAGTGACCCCGCAGTAAAAGGTCCCATTAGCAATTTCCTTAAACTGTCAAGTCATTGCATGACACAAATGAAATGCGATGGGATTATTTTTTTTTTTTTCCACAGGTAAAGGCAGTGGGTTTCTGCCTAATTTTTTTTACTGATGGCCGTGTTACTGAAATACTCCATGTGAAAGTCTTTGTGCTCTCACACAAGAAATATGAAGAAACACAACAGTGGGGTTCGTCACCTGAATGCAGCCCCTCCACACAGGGCAGCTGCCGCACAAATGTCACCCATTTGGTCTGTGAATGGAGAGAGGGTTGGAGAGTTCCAGTGACAAATCCCATCCTCAGCACGCCAGGCACAGCGCACACACCCCATTGCCGAGACAGGTCTGGGCTGTGCGTGTGTTTCTCTCCATAAGCAATAAAAGCAGAGACTGGCAGACATTTAGGGAACCTTCTCTGGCTGACATCACACTGCACTGTTCTTTTACCAGCAATTTTTGTACCCTAGTTCTCTCTCTCTTTACAGAATCATTTGAAGAAATGTGTGAGGGGGGGAAAAGAAATTACCTCCGGCAGTTGTGTTATAATGGCTCTGGTGCTGACAGCCCTTTGGGAACAGTGGCAGCAGCAGGGTAAGTATATATGACATCTTTGTAGTGATAAAGAAACAAATAAATGTTCCCATTAACACTCCATCAGGTCAACAGCTATTCCAGACCAACATGATGTTAGAGGAACCGCTTTGATTCATATCATCTAAGACACACTTCTCTTGCAGCATATCTTCTGGAAAGCACATAAACCAGAGGTCCTGCTCTGACCAGGTGGAGTCATTAAAGAATCAGTGAACTTTTTACAAGTTGCTTGAAATACCCTGGCCAGACTCCAGCTCCAAAGTTGCTGCTGTGTCTGTTTAACAGTTCCTTCATCACACCATGACAATGACTCTGTTTCAGTGCTGGAGGAAGTTATTTCTCCATACATCGTTTGTAACGCGTTTTTGGAGGCTTCTGAATGCTTCCTAAGCCCTGCAGTGAGATCAGTGGGATGTGAGCCTTACCATAACAGTCTGCTCAGGAAGCATGAGCAGCATTTGTATGTCATCCATAATGAATGTGCGTGCATATGGAACAAACACACGTGCACACAGATGCCTGCTCAGACAGGCTGCCCCTTTCCTGTGCAATTCAGCACGAGCTGAGCTTCACTAAGGACTGTGATGTCTCAGTCCCCCAACAAGTGCTGGTTAGTGAACAGCACCTTACAAGAAATGTCCACGTGTAAGGGTGTTTAAGCAAACTTAACTCTGCTAAAATGCAGACTTTAAAACAGGTACAAACTTTATAACTTAGACGAAATAACACAGAATTCCTAATGAATTCCCTTCCTTCTCATGTAACCAGCACTGTCCGAGTATCTTTTTACCAGAACTTTTCTTACTTTCTCACGTATTTTTGACCAAAAGGTCCTGAGAAGGGACATGAGAAGAGCAGGTGGATGTCTTTGGTCTGCCTCGAGTCACACAGATCCTACACAAAGATGAAAACAAAGAAATCCCCTGATCTGGATCCCACAAAGCTGGGACTTGAAGTCCAAGTTGTCCAAAGCTCTGCAAAGTACGTATAAACGTGAGTATCTCTTTGTATCTTAAACTTCATTGCAACAAAAGCCCTTCTATGCTGTGTTCTGGTAAAATCTCACTGGTCAAAGGTATGCCTGTGGCTCCAGACAAAATTCTGAGCCAGATGAACTTAGTTCTGCTTCTGCTGAAATTGTAAGACCTTCTGATGTTAACATGAATGCCAGAGAAAATAGGTTTCAAAATGGTCAGCACAAAAAGAGCAGCCAAATCCTGAGCAATCTGGCCCTAGATATAGAAAACTTAATGCTTACAACCCAGCAAAAACTGAATCTCCAATTCCCCGATTTGATGGAATAGCCTGAGATTTTGGAGGGCATCCTTCAAAAGAGCTTGTGCACCTTTAGGCTGAAATCTCAAGAAGCAAAATCCTCGCAGTTTATGTAAGTGTTTAAAAGGAGATACAGCTTCCAGAGTCATGTAAATACTTCTAATAATATTCAGTCTTGATTCAGCAAAGTATGTGGGAATTTTAGTGGATGTTTAAATCCATTCCATGTATTATGCTTAAACTCATCCTCTCAGAGGGAGGGAGTGCACACCTCTGGGTTTCTCCCTTTGCTCTTCAATTGTAGACATGCTCTTACATCTCTCTGAAGCCAACAGCAGTTGATTATATGTTTACATGCTTTACTGAACTGACAGCGTAAAAATCATAGCAAGGTTTTTGTGATAAAATAATCATAATCTGTCCAGTGCCTGCCAGCATAAACTGGTATTGCAAGCTTGTGTGAATACTGTAGGGATCAAAAATCTGCAGTTGTCTATAGCATAGTGCCATTTCTACCAGCGCATCGTAGAATCACAGAATGGCTTGGGTTGAAAGCATCATTGAAGATCGTCTTGTTCCAACCCCCTGCCACGGGCAGGATGTCATCCACTAGATCGGGTTGCCCAGGGCCCCCATCCAGCCTGGCCTAGAACATTTCCAGGGATTGGGCATCCACAGCTTCTCTAGGTAACCTGTTCCGGTGCCTCGCATCCCTCCGAGTAAAGTATTTCCTCCTGTCATCTAACCTAATCTCCCCCTCTTTTAGTTTAAAACTGTTCCATGGGCTGGGCTGCCGGGGGACGGGTCCTTCCCCACCGGGCCCGGCCGTGCCCGCGGTGCCGCCGGGCGCGATTCCCCGCGTGGCCGCCAGGAGGAGCCGTGGGCACGCGGCGCGGCCCCGGCACCGCCCCCGGGGGTCCGGGCTGGGCCGTGGGGGCTCCGCGGGACCCCCCGCATGACCCTCCGCGGAGCCGCAGCCGAGATGGGCTTCCCTCCCCTGCCCCCCCTCCTGCGGCCCCGCGCAGGGCTCGCCCCGACGGGGACTCCGCAGCTCTGCTCACCATTCACCCTCCCCCGCCCCGCTCCCAGGGAGTTGCCTTGGGGGGCTGCTGCTGCCCCGGGTAATAATGGGTGGGGGGGTTGAGCTTGGGGGCATCGTAATCCTCCTGCCCTCCTTCTGACGAGTCCCTGGTAGAGGGTTCGCTCTGCCGGACTCTTGCTGCTGTCTGACAACCCCCCTGCCCCAGGGTCCTGCGCTCCTCCCCCCCCAGGCCCCCTGAGGTGGGTTCCTCCCTTCTGCCCCGACTCTTGAAGGTCCCCTCAGCACCGCGCTGCTTCTGACCTGGGGGAAGAGCCCCAACACCCCATCCTAGCCCGGGAGCAACCTGGGAATCCCCAGTCCCTCAAGGAAGGCAAGAGGAGGAAAGCTGCTGGATGAACCTTTCCATCCAGGTTGCCTGCTACTGCGTCTTCATGGCATCTGGGGTAAAAGTGGGGTGCTGCCACCATCACATGATAGCATCTCATCCAGAGGCATCCAGGCTCCTTCCTCCTGAACAGGACAGGCAGAGCATCATATCCCAGTCTTCTGAACCTTTTTCTCGTCCTTCTCCACAGGGGCAAGCGAGGTAGGAGGAATAAAACACCCCAAGTAGCTGAACAGCGCCATCATCACCTCCCAGGACAGATATTGGATTTATCTGTGGATGGGAAGTCTTTGTATCAAAACAGGAGCCTGTTGGCCATAAGGAAGATACTTATGGAAAGCATTTTTGCTGTGGAGGATACAAGTGAACTGTTCCCAAACACTTGGAAAAGTGCAGGTACGTGCTCAGGACTCCAGTGCTCTGCGTTTGGTCCCACCTTGAGAAGGGAGGCTGCTTTTCCCTTTCCCCCCCATCAACACGAGTCTGTTGTTCATCTGCCTTCTCCCAAGAAGGGCAGGAAGGAGCATGGTCCCTTTGGGGGAACCTCATCCAGCTGCAAAGGTCAGGGAGGAGGGAGCAGAAGGCTTTTCTCTCAGAAATTCTCACTTCCAACTACTTCTTCCCTCCTTTGGAGTCTGAGCAGAGGGAAGCGAGTCCTGACTGTCCCTCTAGTGCTGGGAGCACAGGAACTGGAGGCAGCAGGAGGGAGTTGTCCTGGATAAACTCCAGGTCAGAGGCAAGAGGGGCCTTGGGCCCACTTGGAAACGGCATCAGGGCAGGGGAGAGGCCTTTTTCTATGCAGGAGAGCCTCCTGTGCTCTGGGCTTTCTGTCTCCAGTCTCATAGGGTTTGTGTTTGTCTTCTGGAGTCAGGTCTCCTTCCATGGCCCCCTTGTTCAAAGGCCTCACAGTCGTTCCCTGGGAGCCCTGTTTTCTCCTACGTAGGACAAGCAAGCCGGGCCAGCCTTTTCCTCCTCTGTTCCCTTCCACTGGCATTTGGATCTCAGCGTTGCTCCATCCCTGCTATCTGTGATGACCAGGGAAACTGTGACCATGTCCAGGTCCTGTCTGTAAACAGCTCTTGCCTGTGCTGCAAAGTCACAGCTCATGGCTTTGTGTTGCTGGGTAAAATCCACGGCTCAGCCGCGCGGCTCTCGCTCGCTTTGGGAGCGGAGCCTTTGCTCACCCCTGGGAGCAAATCGCAGCCTGCAAGTCTGTGTGTGTTTTATTCTGCCTTGAATGTTGAGAGCGCTTAACTTAGGCTTGCAGGGAAACCTCGCTGCAACGTCCCCAAGTTTCCTTCTGCAGCAAAACAGTTAAATGTCGAGTCCCAACCAGTCCACTGAGGACTCCCCCGTGGCAGGCTGAGGAGTGTCCTCCAGCTCCATTTGCCATGCTGAGGGAAGGACAGATTCAGCTTTCCACATGAATATGCTCTGGCCTCATAACCAGCCTGACAGTGGTCTGTGTGCTGCTGCAGTCAGACCATGGTGGTCCAGAGAGCAGACCCAGGCGGGGGACAGAAAGTGAGTGCTAAGACCAACTGGGAATTCTTTAAAGTCAAATCCCCAATATGTAGGGTTGGCGTCTGAAGGAGAACTCTCCTTGCCTGGTGCCAGCTCTTTTTTAAAAATTTTACTGTATTTTAGTTTTTTCACTCTCCCTTTTTTTTTTTTTTTTTTTTTTTTTTTTTTTTTTTTTTTTTTTTTTTTTTTTTTTTTTTTTTTTTTTTTTTTTTTTTTTTTTTTTTTTTTTTTTTTTTTTTTTTTTTTTTTTTTTTAACAGAGTCCTGACTTTCTCACCCCCTCCCTGTTTCCCTCTGCTTTTCTTTCACACTCCTCCAGTGGGGGTCGAGCCAGTGTTTAACTCTTTCGTCCTTGTAGCAATTACTTGCTGGCTTTGAGAATACTCATAAGCCCCAGGTGGGACATGTCCCCTGGCCTTCAGCAGGAGCCTCCCACACCTTCTTATGTGTTGGACATGCAGGCACAAGTCTTCTATAAGGAGGACAGCAGTGGAGAACTTGTCACTCTTAATGTCGTGGCTGGCTGTCCCTGCCCGGTGGAGGTGCCCTCAGACTGCTGCTGGGATGCTGTTCCTTTCAGCATCCAGGAAAACGCAGGGAAACGGTCCCCTGATCCCCTGAACAGATTTGAAGGGCAAAATCTGCCAACTGCTCGGTATATTGATTCAAATGCATTATTCCTCCCTGGGCAGATCCCTGCCCTGGGAAAGGAGTAATCAGTGCAGGTGCAAATAGCTTTTAATTGCAAAATATCTCACCATGGAGGCATTTAGGCTGGATACGATACAACTGATACAGCAGCAGCCGGAGAAAGACCAATAAGCTGGAGCACTGCAGGAGCCAAACTGCTCCTATGCCATACCTATGGTGTAAATATTCATGTGTGGCCGTGTGGCCCTGTTCTTCCACATATCCCTGAAATGACACAGTAGCACTATGAGAAGATTCAAATATCATCTTTAGGGAATGTGAAAACTTGCTGTCAGTGACGGTTCCTGTGTGGGAACACAGCAAGCTTGGGATGGGGATGTTCTGTGTGTGGACTCTCCTAAAGCCAAAGATCGGGCACAGTTTCTCGGTGCCAGCGAGGTGCTGGCAGCGGGCTGTGTGCCTGATTTGGAGAAAGAGCTCTCTGCCCGAGGCTTAGCTGTAGGCTCAGGTGGCTGTATCACACAAGTGATGTACAGGTGGCTGGGACAGGGTCCTGTACAGTTACAGGACTGCCTTAGGGTGCCTCTGGAGCTGTATAGCGGTGCTCAGAGCGTGTCGCACCGAAGCTGGCTATTCTCCGGGCCTTTAGCTGGGCTTCGGGAAAGGCGATGCAGCCCGCAGGGCTCCGCTGCCCTTCACGGAGCTCTGTGGCCCCTGGAAGGAGTGGGCAGGAGCCGCCCGTCGCTCCCGGGACAGCATCTCCCGCACCTCGGAGCAGGGAGTGGGGGGATAGAGGGAAACGGGAGCAATTCAGAGATAACGCTAACGCTTCAGAGATCACCCTCCCCAAAACGGGTCAGGGGATCCCCCTCAAGCCTCCGCGGTGTGACATCGCCCTGGAGAGAGCGAGTCGCCCGGCTTGCCGGGAGTTTTGTTTCATTAAACGGGCAAAGATGGGCACGGCAGTGTTTGGGGAGGCATAACCCACTCAGCCGGCACAGCGAGCTCCCATCCGCGGCAAGAGCCCTTGACAGGAGCCAGACCCCGGGCTCATGCGAACGAGTTGCACGGGGAAAGGTTGGAGCGTGATGCGGGGAGAGCGGCGGGCGGCAGGTCGGCGAGCCCGCGGAGAGCTCCGCCACCGCGCAGCCAGCCCGGCTCTTCCCTAGCGACGGCAGGAATTGGTTTTATTATTTTTTTTTTCTTAGGAAAACAAAAATCGGACTTCCTAGGGAAAAAAAAAAATCAAAAAGAAGGAACTTTCTCCCGAACCGTCCTGTTCGGAAATCGAGTGCTTGTGCCGCAGAGCAGCGCAGCGATTCCGGGAGCGGAGCAGGAGCCGGGGAGAGCTGCGAGGGTCCAGCGTGGATTTGCGGCGGGGAAGTTTTCCCCACGAGTGTTTCCAGCAGGGATAACCCCGCTGCGAGGGGCGGCCTCTCCTCCCCGGGCTCGGGCAGAGCCGGCGCGGCCGGCGGGGCAGGGGCCGGCGGGCGCGGGGCATCCTCAGCTTCGGCCAGTCGGGGTCGGCAGCCTGGCGCTGGCGGGCGATCCCCCGGGGAGCGGGGACGGCTCGACCACCCTCGCACTTCGCGGTGCCGCGTTTGGGCTGTGCGGGCGGTGGGGCTGCGCGGGGGCGAGGAGCGCGGCGCCCTCCCGGCGAGGGCCAGCCCCGGGCGCTCGGGGGTCGGTCCGGGGAGCGGGGCTGCCCCTCCGTGTCCCCCCCGGTGATCCCCGGGCAGCGCTGCCGCCGAACAAAGGCGCGGCCGTGCCCGTGTCGGTCCCCCCGCCCCGGGGGGGTCCGGGGCAACTTCCCCCCAGGCCGGGCGGGCTGGCCGGGCGGGGCTATGCTAATGAAGGGGGCGCGGCCACGCCCCCGCCGAGGCCACTCGCGGGTGCCCATTGGCGGCGGCGCGGCGGGGGCGGGGCGGTGACGCGATGCAAATGAGGGGGCGTGTCCGATGCGGCACCGCCCCCCGCCCGCCGGGGCTGCGGGGCTCGTGTTCGGCGGCGGGGACAGTCAAAGTGGCTCCCATAGGGAGAGACGGCGAGTCCGCCCGGCGCTGCGGGAGAGGGAGGGGGCACGGGGAGCCCCAGGGTCTCCCTCTGGCCGTCCGTCCGCGCCGCCGCCGCCGCCGCGGGTGCGCCCCTCTCGCTCCCTTTCCCGGCGTGCGCCCGGCTCCGGCAACTCGCTTCCTGCGCGGCTGGAGGAGGGAGGAGAGAGGAGAGGAGCGGAGAGCGCTTCGGCTGGGAGAGGAGAGAAGAAAGAGGGAGAAAAGAAAGAAAGAAAAGAGAGAGGGGAGAAAGGGGGGGGGGACTTGCCTCTCTTGTCACTGGAAAATGACACTTGATGTAGCAGAGCCTGCCGCAGCTCCCGTTCGTCCTATTGTTTCTTAAACTGCCATCTGAGATTTTTTTTTTTTCCTGCTGCCATCCGAGGGGTGTCTTCATACAAAAGGGACTTCAAGTACTCCTCCGGCTTGTGAGCGCTGCAACCAGCCCCCAGCACCCCGCTAGCCCCTCCAAGCACCCAAACAAACTGCACACGCAGCAAACAGCAGCAACAAAACCGGGCTCTGATTGCCTCTGGATTTTTTTTTTTTTTTTAATGTCCGTGCCTGTGATTGCTTTCTCCGACTTGCTTTGATTCCAGAGATCAGCAGCAGAGAGAGAAAAAGGAGAAAAAGAAAAAAACCCACATATAACAGTCCGCCTGGCGATTTTACCACTTTTTAAAATTTCGAGTAAAGAAGGAAGATTTGTGCTGTTGTTTCTGATTCATGTTTGGGATTCAGGAAAGCATCCAGCGGAGTGGGAGCAGCATGAAGGAAGAGCCCCTCGGCGCGGGGATGAACGCGGTGCGGACGTGGATGCAGGGAGCCGGCGTCCTGGACGCCAGCACGGCCGCTCAGAGGTAGGCAGGCTCCGCGCCCGCTCCGCTCCGCGCCCCGGGGCGCTCCCCGGCCGCAGCTCTGCTCCCCTCGGGCAGCGCCTTACCCCCCCCCGCCCCGCGCCAACAAAAACCCTGCCCTGGAGCTCTGTTACTAGCAGTGGGTTTCGCGTAGATGTCGCCAGTTAAATATTTATCCCTATTGTCCCGCAGGAATGACTTTTTATTAAATAATGATAACAATAATAAAGGAAGCAGCGAGTTTCACTAGGTACGGATAGGTGGGTTTCATCTCTCTGGCCCCTTGTGTTTGCTAGGAGGAAGGAGTTTTCAAAACTATGTTTGCTGCTGATTTAGTCTTGAGATCTCCAAATGACACTTTCGTCCCCCGATAAGCAGCGAGTTGTGCACGGATGTATCCAAAATAATTTCTCTACCTCGCTTTCCTATCCTCGTCACAATCAGAAGCTCCTCTTCTTTTCCTCCGATAAGCAGGGAGTTTGCAAAGGTTTCTCTAGGAGAAATTTATTTTGAACCCCCTTAGTAAAACCACTGTCACTTATCTCGGATTTTTTAAAAAGAAGTCACTCCAAATAGGAGGTGGTTTTGGCGAAGCTGCACCCAGCCTCGCCTTCTCTCTTATTTCTCCTTCTTCCCATCATCTTCCCCACGAAAAAAAAAAAAAAAAAAAAAAAAAAAAAGGCACCAACCAAACCCTGATGCCGGATTCGCAGCCTGAGCCCGGCATCAGCCGGCATCAGTTTAATGTTGACATCTCCCTGTGTCTCCCACCTCGCCCCGCACCCCTCCCTTTGGAGCCCTCTAAGGAAGGGAAAGTTTCTGCAGGGACAACCCAGAAATATTTCAAGTTGTCTCCTGGGCTCGGTGTTTACCCACCGCTCCGGCGCGGGAGGAAAGGCTCGCAGGACTGAGGCTGCAAGATAAGGCACATGGGCGCTGGGGTGACAGCTCCGAGCCGAGTTTGAGAAGTGGCAGGACCGATGCTGCTCCGCGGGGCAACGCGCCGGCGGCGCTGAGCGCGGCTCTGCCGCCATGCAGGGCCGGCCGCGGGCGGGCACGGCCCCTCGGGAGGGCTGGTGGGTACCGGGGCCGGGGGGGCTGCTGGGGGGCCTCGGGCTCGCCGCAGGGCGGGATGGGGTCGGGGCTCCCGGGGTTCGGAGCTTGAGCCTTTCCTCGCGCCCAGAGGGAAAAGCTCCGGGGCGACTCGGGGGAGGGGGGGATGCTCAGTCCCGAGGAGGGCCCGGCCGGGTCCCGGCGGGGGAAGGAACGGGCCCGGGAGTCTGCTCGGGGAACGTGAGGCCGCGTCGTCGGGGCTGCCGCTAACCCGCATGTTTCTGGTCCCAGCGGAGTGGGTCTGGCCCGGGCTCACTTCGAGAAACAGCCGCCTTCCAACCTGAGGAAGTCCAACTTTTTCCACTTCGTCCTGGCTCTGTACGACCGGCAGGGGCAGCCCGTGGAGATCGAACGCACCGCCTTCGTGGGCTTCGTGGAGAAGGAGAAGGTGAGTAGCCTGGTGCCCCGCAGGGGCTCGGCGGCCTCTCCCGGGCCCTCCTCCCTGCTCCTCTCCCTCGGGGCCGCGGCGTCGGCTCGTCCCGAGAGCCACCGCCGCCTCCCGGGCGCCTCACTCTTCCCCTGTCCCGGAGGGCAGACGGGGAGGGGATGTCCCCTGATCCCTGGCTATGCCCGGGGCAGGAGAGAGGCCTGAAAGCTGTCCCGTCCAGCCCCGGGGGCACCCGGTGCGCGAATGATGGAGAAACTTAATTGATACTCTTTTTCCTTTTCCCTCCGGCCTCCCGCGCTCCCTTTGACTTCAGGAAGCCAACAGTGAAAAGACCAACAACGGGATCCACTACCGCCTGCAGCTGCTCTACAGCAATGGTAAGGGCTGAGAGCCCCCGGTGTCAGACCCGTCGCTCCCCGCCGCCTCTGCGGCTTCAGAGCCCACTGGAGGCCGGGGAGCCGCTGCCCCGGCTCCCTCCGCTCCGCGCACCCCCGCGCCCGGGGCTCTGCGGGGACAAGGGCGGCCCCGGCGGGCCCGAGCCCTCGGGCGAGCCCAGGCTCGCTGCCCCGCTCCTCACACCTCTGCCTTGTTTCAGGGATCAGGACGGAGCAGGATTTCTACGTGCGACTCATCGACTCCATGACCAAGCAGGTGGGTGCTGCGGGACGCCCGCGGAGGAGGGGGGTGCCGGGGGGAGGGGGGATGGCAGCCGTCGGGGCGGCCCCCGGGAGCGCGGCGGGGCGGCCCGCGGAGCCGAAACCCGCCCCCGCGGCGGAGCGGCTCTGCCCCGGCGGGGAAGGGAAGGGAAGGGGCCGCTGCCTCCCGCAGGCACGGCCGCGCTCCCCGCTCTGCGGCGTCGGGGCTGCGGGGCGGCGCGGGGGGTCCCCGCGGGACCCCTGCCTGCCGGCGGGCTGGGAGGAGAAAAATACAGGAGACCCTCCAGCCATCCCAGCCAGGGCCGGGGCTGGATTTGCCGCTTAATTGATAAGAATTAACCTCCGGCCTCTGCCAGCCCCCGAGCGCTGCCGGCACAAGCCGCTGCCCCGGCGCGGGGTTCTGTCGGTCCGTCCGTTCCTTGCGCTGCTGCCGGGTCCGTGGGTTAAAGGAGGAGCGGTTGTATCGCGACACGTTTGCATGTCGGAATAGTTCCCCGAATCGTGGCGCAGGGAGCGGCGAGCTCGGTATCGGACTCGGGAGGACAGCAGGGATTGTCAGTGGAATTAATCTTCATTTTAAGCTTGAACTTTAGTCTCCCAAACAGAGTAATAACATGCGTGCCTACCTGTAAAAAATACTTTTCTGTTTTAAACCAGTATTTGTTACAAAGGGACTATCTGAACAAATCGATTATTTCTCTCTCTCTTTTTATTTATTTATTTATTTATTTATTTTTTTAACTGTTACTCTGGCTTTTTCTTCTGCTCCTCTCAGAATATTTTCCTCAGAGAATCTGTTTCTTTCAAATACTTGGGATCGCTTTTAAGCCTTTTCATCCTTAAAATACATTTCTTCCTCTCGTAATCTGTTTTAGTTGTTAAAGAAAATTCTTAAATTTTATTTAAGAAAAACATTGAGGGTTGTTTTTTTTAGGAAAAGTCAGTCCCTGTGAGTTGTCTGTAGAGACAAAACTCTTGGCTTGTAATTGGGTTTCTTTTCTGCAGTAAAACATAAAAACATAAAGCTCTAAGGGCTGAGTTTGTTTTACAAAACTCTCTTTGATGGTCCCAAAACATCTTTTCCTGCTATTGAAGACTGTCTTTCAACAGAAAAAAAAAAAAAAAAAAAAAAGGAACTTGGATGAATTTTGCTAGACAATCCACTATGCATCTTAACTCTGTTACACTGTACACTTCCAAACAGAGCCCATTCCCTGTAGGGATTAAAACAGCAGCAACATACCCTTCTTCATAAAAAAAAAACCTGGAAAGCGTTTGCTGTCATTCCTTGTTTTTCAGGCTCAAATTGTTTAGTTTTTGTTAAAAGCAACAAAATCTTCCTGATCCGTGAACTCCTTTTAGTCCTTTTGGAGCTTGTGTATTTCAGCGTAGACAGTGTGAGAGAGACTATCAATAAATATCATCTTTAAAAAGCTTTCCTATCGTTACGGAAATGCAGAAGTCTCTGCTCATAATCCCGTTGAAAACAGAGCCCTGGACACATGGAGAGCAATGGATTCAAAATAATTTTCTTAACAAAGGCATCTTGCATATGAAGAGTTCATCCTAAGGCACTGTTTGACCTCTTGGTCTCTCATTATTATCAAGTCATCAGAGGGTCTTTGGAGAGAAAGGGGAAAAAAATCCCCGAGATACAGTTTATTTGTAAAACCTACCGTGTAGCTTTAAAGCACGCTCGCAATGAAGAAGAAGGAAAAAAAAAATCTCTCTGATTTCAGGAAGTCTTAGAAAAACAAAGTTAGTGCAAATTACAGATTTTGGGGAAAGTGTGGCGGGTTTGAGAAGTGGGAGTTTAAGAACAAAAGCTCTCTGAACTTAGATTAGAAAACAGGCAGCGAAAGCCTATTTTAGACACAAACATGTTTGCTTATGTATTAATTTCATGCATACAATTTCTTTAGGCATGACTATAACTGCTTATGAAAAATAGGACATTGTCATGTCAAAACTGTGGCATGTGTCGCTCTGAATTTTCTTGGGGGCCGGATGCTAAATTCTCCTTCTTCTGTTTTAATTCTTTCTTTTTAAAAGTGAAATTATTGCAGAGTTGGGATCGCATCGGTTACTGAATGCTTATTAGGAAGTGAAGTACAACACATGACAGAAGCTCACCCAAATGTTGAATATATCATTTATATTTTATGACAGTGAATTATATAGAAGATTCTCAAGTAACTTTCAAATCATCAAACTGTAATTAAATATTGCAAAGACTGTCTGAAAATTCTTTAATTTTTAATGAAAGTTAAATATATATTGTCAGTCTACTTGAAGGTGTAGTATTTTAATGCACGACGCTCAGAACAAATTGGATAATGAAATGATTACTTTTAAATGAAACTGTTGCAGAAGCGTACACGTTTCAGCTGGCAAGTATCTTCTCAGTCCTCACACACACACATTCACACACTCAATAATTGTGAATTCCCAGACTAAAATTACAGCTACTCTGAGGTTTCTGGTGGCAAATTAAAAATCCCAGAGAGGCAAAGCTTGAATGAGCTAGGTTCCCCAGATCATACAGGAAAGTATCTGTGGCTTTTTTTAATATCTTTTTTTTTTTTTTTTCCCAAATATGGACACGTCAGATTTATGTGTATTCTCTTTGTCTCACAGTTATAAATTGTGAGGTTTTGTATGGTTGCAGATTAGTAAGTTAAGTAAGATAAGAGCCATTCTGAAAATCAGACCTAGATTTCTGTACATAGGATTGCTGCTCAGAGATTTAATGTGAATGTCCCATCTGCAGCATGTATTCTACCAGCAGGTAGGCAGGGCTTGGCTGTGCTGGGGGCAGTGTATGTTGTAAAGAGTAGATGTTTCTTCTCCTAAGTGCTCTTGATCTAAGTCAGGGATTTGTTCATGTGGCTGTGCCCAGCTAAGAAACTCGGAGCAGGAGTTCTGTCACGGGTGGAACAGAGGGATCCACACGTCCTGGTGCGTGTGTGTGTGTTCTCTGTCAGCTGGGGAGCAGGACGGGAAGCGGGGCTGGAGAGTGGCGCTACTGAAGTAACCAAGAGTTTTGTTGTGAGCTGCTGCATCCCAGAGCAGCTCTGGGCTGTAGGATGAACTGTGCAGGATCTACCCCAAAACATGAGCTTCGGCCGCACGTGCGCTCCTCGAGAACGCGGGCTGTGGGATTCCAAACGGGAAACCCAGGCAGGATTGGTTCAAAGTGCATCATTTTGAGTTGCTTTTGGGATGACGCGCTCGGCCTTTGGTGGTGGCCCCAGAGAAGCGCTGGGTGAGACAGGAATTACTTGGCTTTCAGCGATCTTGCTAAGTTTCCAAAACGCGTCCCCCATCATTTAAAAATTGTAAATACTACTCACAAATCATTCATGTGGTGGGGAAGTTCTTTTTTTTTCAGTTTGGGTAACAACATTAGTTGTCAAAACTGGCCTAACTGAATTTTCTTTTACGTTATATTGGCACCTCATTTTATGCCAGGATCACATTCCTAATGCGTTCAAAACCCTGTAGGATCCCCAACTTTATAGCTGTTGCTTTCCGTAAAGCGGCAGCTCCTCCCGCAGTAGGTCTGGCTCTAACAATGATGCATTTTGAAATTGCCCGCAAAACGTGAAATATGTCTGCTCTAATGAAACCGGAGTTTTTAGGCAAGTCTAAGGATTTTAATATATTTATGGAGAAGGGATGCCTTCTATTTCTTTGGGTGTATTTTCATAAAGTTGAGATATTTCACTATTAGGAAAGATGGAGGAAATAAATCTGAAATAGTTGTTCCCCACCCATTTTTCCTTCAGCCGTTCTCATCCATAAGATATAACGGATGCTAATAGAGCTCAGGCATCTTAAGAATCATAAGTTTTGCTCGATTACTATTGTCTATTTCTGAGAGTCCTCATGAGTCAAAAATCTTAAACTCTGTTTATATTTTGCTTTTTTTTTTCCAGTACTATAACTCCGGATGCAAATGGTTTTTCTGTTGACTTCTCTGTCATTCTCTGATGTCTGCAGATATTTGATCAGCTCCTATTCTGTGCATGGCATGGCCCTTCTCTGGCAGCTACATGCGTGGGAAAAAAAAATGTTATCAATAAGTTCAGAGGAGCCTCAGCAGACTCAGAGAAATTTCACACAAGCATAAAACAAAACCTAACCCCTGTGACAGGGAAAGTTTACATTGCACCAGATTTTAGCAGCTTTCTTGTGCCTTTGGTGAGATGTCAGAAGCGCAGGTGATTTTAATTTTCTTGTACAGAGAGGAATGGAGAAGTTTGGAATTTGCATGCATGATCAGGACCTGTGTTTGGGAAAATGTAAACTCATCACAGTGGAAAATGTGTTGTTTGGAGTCTGAGGGTGAAAACAAAGCTGAGGATTTTGGAGAGACTGCCTGAGCCAGATGGCCTGGTGCATTCCCAGTCTGGCAGCCCAACTGCTCCCTCCTGTATAATATACAGCCATTTGTTCTGGGATATTTACGCTAGAGCTGTTTCCATGTGAATGTTTGAAAACCATTAAAAATGAACATATTAGGAGAGATAAATTTATTTAATTCATGTGAATACGTCGATAAGCAGGCTGTGAATCAAAGGCAGAGAGAGACTGGATAAAATAATTAGATGCTTCTGAATTGTGCGTTGAGAGACAGAGCAAGAACTCCCTGCCCTCGCCCCGGGACCAGCACTCCGCTGCTTGTCCGGGATAAACCTCACCGGGATGAGTTGAAATTTCGCTGGGGGAAGGGGTAAAATCTCGGGTAACTAAGGGTTAAGGATTCAAAGCCAAATAAATGTAATTCACAGTATTTTCTGTGCAGATATATCGTGGGTACAAGCCTAATCCTCCCTGGGTGAGACTCTGGCCCATCTGAAGTCAATTGCACAGCGCCTATTGAATTCGGTGGGGCCAGGCTTTTATTTGCTCCCTGTGTGCTCGGCCATATATATGTCATTCCAAATCATTTTAGTTCTGTTTTGGAAAAGACCCTAATTTTAATGAGTTTTTCCTTCTCCTTTATTTCTGTAAAGGAGATACTTTGTTTTGTGAAGCAGCCGAGGAATTTGAAAGCAAGTGAGTTTAGATGCATGTTGGGGATTTCTCTCCTTCTCTTACTCTTTTAAAATCAAGGCCATGACATAACTGAGTAATATAATGACCATGATCTCATTCTTTCAAGATTGTTTTTCGTCCAGTTCCGAAAGCAGGATTGCTTGACTGGCAAACTGACACCAGGAGACAATTCTGCCCTCAGTTTTACCAGCATAAATCTGGATTTATTCAGGAATGGTTAAGGACAAAAACTGGCTCTATATTTTTCCAGATTATTCATCAACTCTTTTATTGCTTTATCCTGCTGTCTTTATTGGGGAAAAAGTGGATTAAACAAGAACTGTAGTCTCAACTTTTATATTACTCTCCTTCCTTTTATCTTTAATTTTTAATTTTTTTTTTTTTTTTTTATAATGTACTCTGTCGCTGAAAAGTTTAGGAGAATTGCTGGACGCACTTGACTGCGATGTGCTCAATTTAGGAATTTTTATTTGCCGGCAAGCAGTGAATTGCATTTAATTTAACTTTTTATGCAGCTTTTGTTCATGTGGAAGTGAGAAAGTCTTATATTTTTGACACCAGTTTTTTGGGACCTGATTTTGAAATCCGCTTGTGTATGAGTGATTGTTACTCACTGGGACTTCTTGTAGAAAGGTTACTTGGGTGAGTAACTGCTAGCAAAATGGAAGATGAATTTTGTGGGGAAATGTTTAAGCTGCTCAGGAGTAGAAAAGCTATTTTCAAATGCTTGTGAAACAACACCAAGTTAAAACTACACAAAGTAAACAAAAAGAAAAAAACGAAGTCTATAATTTTGCATTTCCTTTGCTGGTGTTCTGTTGTGCAACCCTGATGTGTATTTGCAGGCTTATTTTTAGCTCTGCTGTGGTCTAAGTTTATGCCCTATAACTTTCACTTTATCTCTCATTAATGTGATCCCTATTTGACAAAATCACGACGATGTTGGTGCGACAGGGAATCCCGACACAATCACCCTGTTTTAAGGCCTGAACTTAAAAAAAAAATCATAATTAAAAAAAAAAACAACGATATTTTTGTTAAGAGGAGCAGCTTTTCAAATCCGAGAGTTAAACATTTTCGCAACCGTAAAGTAGTAGACCCTTCCTGTAAAAATACTTCTGGCAGCTCTAACGATCTGAAACTTTAGCAGTTCCTGTTTCCCTTTTGAAACTAATTGCAGAATTAATGCTTTAGAGCAGCGCGGTCTGCGAGGCGGTCGAGTATCTGCAGTGCTCTCGGGCAGCCATTCATGGGAGTGAACAGTTGGTGCTTTGCACACCCGTTCACACAAGTGAATTGGGACACAGGAATGGGAGACGGGGATGAGCTGCTCAGGAATCAACCCAGCTAGTCCTCCTGCTTCCTAGAATTTCCTAGAAACTCCTGCAGGAATAGGGTATGCGGGAGTAGCTGCGCTGAACGCGGAGAAAACAAAATGTGCACGGGTACAACTTCGATAATTGAATGCAAATAAAGTGAAAAGCAAATCCTTAGAGTAGAGGAAGGCAGGAGAGTGTCATGCACGCAAAGAAGGGATCACTGATGCTAAACACAACAGACAAGGTGATTATGTACCACAGTGTTGACTCTGCCCGTTCATTATTGCTATTTAGTTGAGTTATTTAAGTGGGTACCTGGAGGTTAAGTAAGCACAGCAGCAGGAAGGGGAGAGGAGGAGAGAGGGGAGAGGAAAAAAGTAAATTTTGTATTCTGCTTTGTAATTTCTAGTGCTTCCTTGGCCCACTGGCAACAAGATAACCCATACTGGGTAAATTTATTTTAAGAGTGTAAGAAGAACAAGCAAGTCCAGCAGCCCTCTCTCAGGCCCTGTTACCCTGTCACACTGTGATTGCCTGGAGGTGATGAGGAACTGGAGGTGCTTGTCCCCACTAAGGGCCTTGGGGGCACATCTGCTCTTTCCCCCTTGCTCTGCATTCTCAGAGGCAGATTATTCTTTAACTGTTGATGAAGTCCAAAAAGTGCCATCAGCTTCCTCCTTGTCTGGCCTGTCCCACTACCAGGTGGAACCTGATTTGGGGTTTTCTGGAGTCTTTGCCATGTCCCCACTGACCAACCCCACCAGGTGTCAGCCAGTTACTTCGATTCTCTTGTTTTAGCTGGAAGATACTTCTCCCATCTTCCCCTTTAATGCAGGAAATGAGGATCTTCTGAATTTGTTCCATCTCCTGCTGTAACACAGGGATGACTGTAATGCCATTTTCCAAGGCTTCTTGCAAACAGTCTGTAGCCCTTTTGGGCGCTGATGGAGAAGTAGGTCAAGTTGGGGTCCCAGCTGGGGTCAGGGGATTGCTGGTGTCTGTGCTGGGGGGACTTTCCATGTGTCCCCTTTACAGGAGTGCTGGGTTCACAGGTGTTGTGCCTCACTTCTGGGAACGAGGGGGCAGAAATCAGGTGAAACTCTGTGCCAATTAGTGGCAATGACAGTGGAGGCTTCTGTTTTATCAGCAGTGAAACACCAACCCTGCCGGCTCTCAGGTTTTAGAGGAATGCAAAACTGAAATTAAAAAATGAAAACTAGCAAAGGTAAAGTAACACAGACCTATTCCTGATATTGTTTATGGAATTATTAAATCATTTTATAATGCATAATATTAATATTGCATGTTACTATTTAAATGGTGTTGAAAGTCAGCTCGTGGTTCTTCAGATTTGTGTGTCCTGAGATTTTTGCCCCCTCTGGAGGTACAACACCTCTTACATTTGGTGGGTTATATTTGTAAGGTCTGGGAAAGTAGTTCATATGATCCTACTTCATCCTTTATTAAGGTAACTTATTTTTCTGTTAGTATTTTCCACACTTCAATTTCAAAGTGATCTCATTCCTTAAAATTTATCTCACCTATATAGCATACTCATTAGATTTCAATATGTATTTTATTATTAGCTTCAGGGATACCCATAACAGATGTCATTTTACCTGCAGAGTTTTTTTCCCCAAATTTCTTCTTTTAAAGTCTGTATTTTCCAAGGCTGAAAAGGTCACCCTGAGCTCAAGGGTAGCACTGATGCTCAGATGCAGGAATGGTCGTCCCTCCAAGGCTGGGACTCTGATCCCAGCTCTGGAGTTGCACTCTAAAGTAATTTACGAACCTCAGTGCTGTCTAAAGATGCCGTTGCAAAAGAAGCTTCTTTTCACTCCTGTTTTACTGCTGGGGGGTCTCGTGTCCAGGATGAGGGGTGGCTGGGAAGCATAACTGTGTTGGGATGAGATGGCAACCCTGTCCTGCAGGGGCTGTTGAGCACTAACCTAGTTAGTGTGTAACGCCGATCCCTCGCTGCTGCTCCTGCTGGTGGGAGCAAATGTAGACTCTTCCTGAAATGTGAATACACTGTCTTTCCACAGTTTTAGCTTAAAGGATTTTCCCTGTGCTGTCTCAGAGTCAAATTTCTGAAGTTGGTTGATCCACTGTTTGTTTTGGTCTCCTCTGCTCTAGTGGGGCCTGCTCCTCACTTATTTATATCCCTGTAACTCCAGAGGTGCTCTCTGGAAAGTGGTGGATCACGAGGTTCAAGGGAAGAATCAGGCCCAGGCGCTTCCTCAGGAGCTACCAGGAAAATGCCTGGGCTGTGCAGCTTTTGTAATTAAAAATGCATGAGCTCTCTCTTTTTTTTTTTTTTTTTTTTTTTTTTTTTTTTTTTTTTTTTTTTTTAATGAATAGGACCCAAAGTATACCGAGCCTTGCTGTTTTTTTCCTCTCCTTTTTTTTTTTTTTTCCCCCTTTTAATGCTATTAGGTTTATATTTTATTCTGAATTGAAAAGAAAATTGTGGTTGTCTTGACTACTGAAAAAACCCCATCCTACACACCGCTCGAGAGATGTGCAACACAGAGAGGAGGGAATTTAGCTGTGCTCAGCTTGTGTTTTTTCCAGCTGCAAGTCTTGGAGCAGGTTCGGTGGAGACACCGTGGTCTCTTTAGCCCGTGCCGTGGTTTGAAGCTCCAGCTACGCCTTCGCTTACCGTGGTGTATTTTTATTTCCTTCAAACTCAACCTGATGCACAACTGAAAACTGTGTTTTGTTTCTAGGCGATAGTATATGAAGGCCAAGACAAGAACCCAGAAATGTGCCGAGTTCTGCTCACGCATGAAATAATGTGCAGGTAAGAAATACCCCGCTTCCACTTAATTAGTGATGAGAAGATGAATCTGTCTCCCAAAATCTAGGTTGAACCTGCAGCTATTTTCAGACTTAAATTTATCTTTCTTGCATTAAACAATCCCAAAATAACACAGTTCGGTGTGTGTAATTAGCAGCAAGGTCTCAGTCGTCACACTAGTTTTCAATTATTTATAAAGAGTTATTCTTAACAGAACGCTGCTGGTTTTCATTTAGACACTGTGGCTTGCAAAAGGTCTCCTCACCAAAATTAACAGTCTATTACAGTCTTCTAGCAATAAACGTCTCTGCCCCCTATTCCCAACAAAAACTCCTCAGTAAAATGACAAAATAGGTTTTCTTGTTGTTTTTTTTTCTGGATGCACATTAAGGAGTGAGGTCAGGAGGCTTTTTTGTCCTGGTTGCTGCTCACTCGAGGTCCCTGCTTGGACAGAGCGGAGCAGGTGATGCTCTTCCATGCAAAAGATTTCTTCATCTTGATTTTCTTTAAACTTCCCCATGCAGAACTTGGCTCTGCCCTGTGCTCTCTTGCCCTGCCTGGGGTTGGAGACTTAGATTCAGTGCAGTCAAATATCTTTTCCCCCAAACTTCTGCAGCTGTTTCCTTCTCTGTTCTGCCTGATTGAAGTAGGTGAAGCCTCTTCTACTTCCTTTTTACCACAGAGAAAGCAGCATCTTCCCCCAGACCCCTCTGACACCTTGGAGAGCTTGACCTCTCAGTCTCAAGAAAGTTAGTGGGTGTTTTTTGCATGTCTGAAAAAAATCATTTGTTACGTGTTATTTGATGGCAGAAAATAATTCCCTGGTGGAAGACGAGGCGTTCTTGCATAAGCTCATTGTTACAATCAGTTGTTTTAAGACTGTAAAAATGCCATTGCATGCGCTGTAACTTTTGCAAAACACATTTACTAAAAAGGAGTAACTTGAGGGTAAAAACTAGTACCCACTTCTAAGAGAATAAACTTGGATGAGGGTTCCCTGGCAGGGGAGAGTCTTTGACAAAATATTCAGATGGAAATTTCTCTGTTGGCTGATTCTTTTTTTTTTTTCATTATTATTTTTTGGGTGTTTTTTCATTCTTGGGATTTGCATGTTTTTGTCCTCCATGACATCTCCTCCTGATAAAACCCTGCTGAGGGAGGCACCCTGTGATGCCAACAGGGAAGGAGCTTCTCTCCTTGCTCTGCCAGCCTGGGTGAAACCCTGCATAGCCTCCCCGAAATTCTTCCTTGCAGGATTTTGGGGGCTTTTAGCTCTTATGTTGTGTTTTTCTAGGCTGCTTCAGTCAGTAGGTTTGGCTTCTTCCAGGAAGCCAAAGACAACCCATTACAGCCCCAGAACAAGCACAGCAGATGGGTGTCTCCAAGAGGTGCCTGAGCTTCTGCTGCTGTTCAGAGCTGCAGCGTTGCTTTCCTGAGAGTCCTGGCCACTTCTCCCTTTCCAAATGGAACCCCAGTCATGTTGACAACTTGTAATTGCCCTAAAATTCATTGGCCCAATTAGCACCACTTTCACTCTGGGTACCTAGCTAGGAACAATTCATGGAAATATTAAAGGAGGCCCCTGACCTGATAAGGCTGAAGTGCCTTTTGCTTTTCTCCTGTACCAGACCAGTAAAACATGGACAGTGGGCACGTGAGTAAAATTAAGCACATGCTCAAGTGCCTGCAGCATCAGGGTCTGAATCTGTCATTAGTCCTGGGTGATGTACCCTCCTGATCCTTAACCATCAAAGTTTGGAAGTAGGAATTACTCACTGAGCCAGAATAACCTACTTTAATGCACTAATTTTCTTACAAATACTTTAGAAACATAAAGTGGATGAAGTAAATTAAAACTTTATATAGTGGGCTGAGTTTTAAGTAGAAAACCAAATACCTGCATTACAGATTTACAGCCGTTCAATATATTTTGACTGAGACAAAATTATTTCTGTTCTGGGAATGTGGAAAGATGTGCAGTCATTCCCTTTATTGAAGCACTTTGCTCTTTCTTTGTTCTTAAAATTCACTGGATCAGAAGCTTTATTCTTCTCCTTCTATTTATTTAGTGCTAGTCCTTGCTTTGTATTTCATAACTGTAAGGTGAAGGAGTAGAAAAAAAAAAACACCTGACCATAGCAGGCAAATGTTGTGTGCCTGATGGGGTGGGGGAGACATATTCAAATTTCTTATAGCTCATATTAGATATTACCCATTTCCTTTGCTGCCTATATGTGTGTAAGAGGGTGCTGTTTGTTTACCAGGCCGCTTGACCCTATTGCACAAATCTGTCATCTATTGTGCTGCTAACGCGCTTTTAAATTGCAAATCTGATGCTCTTTAGGGGTCTAGAAGGGAAAAAAACCCTCTCTCTCCACACCATTCTGTTTCTCTTGATTTCTTGCCTGTTGTAAGTGGAAGTTGGGATGTGCTGAATTTGCACCAGGGGTGCAAATGCAGCCTCAATTATAAGCATAAAATTAGAGTCTGTTCCCCATTAATCAGCCCAGCTAATTGCTATGCACTACCATTAGCCATATGGTGTGAAAGACAGCTTGCTCTCCCTAAGATGAAATTTCTTCATTTCAGACATGAAATAGTGAGGGCTCTGTATTTTAAAATAGCTTGTTTTAGATATTTAATTTCTAAACAACTTTCAGCAGTGCTTTCTATCAAGGCTAACTGCACAATAAAACTTTGCATTTATGTGACAAAGCTGAGTATTTATAGTGTACTACAGCTACGGCACGGAGGAGACAAAGAATTCAAATGTATAGGAGAGTCCTGGCTGTGGTAGGAAAGCGGAGCTGAGGTTTGCTTCAGGTAGCTGTTTATTTCAAAGGCTTTCATTGTATTTTGTCAAATATAAAAATCTACACTGTTGGCGAAATGTTAATAGCTGGGGAGAATTCACAGCCTCAGTGGAATTTATTAGTATTGTAGGCAGCATGGGGAGGGACATCTATAGTTAATATTGCCTCAACAATTTCCATTATGAAACCTTCAGTGGCTTACAGCTTTGCCAAACTTAAACTGTTCTGGCTGAAATATCCTTTGCAGGGTGTCAGCCTCAGGCTGACTTTCTTTGGAAAGTTTCAGCTAAAATGGTTCAGTGATTTCTGAGAATGAGGTTGGAGTAAAATATGGGTTTTGTCTGTGTAAAATAAGATCCTACAGCTGTTTTGGCAAGAGGGTTCCCGTACCTCCACGCTTCAGGGTGAGGAGCCTGCTTGGGGCAGGGGTTGTCCTGAGTGCATCATCTGTGGGAGGAAACCCACCTCGCTGGGGACCTTCTGCAAAATCTCCCACATGGACTCGCTGACGACTTGTTAGAGCCTGGCAGCTGATGATCGGAAAGTCGCCTTTGCTTTGCTGGCCACGTGCCACGGCCCCATAATTTCTCATTGTTCATTGTCCCCGTGGAAAGGCCGAGAGCAGACACACAAAGCAGGGGGCTCCTCGCATGGGGATGCTCCGACCACCACCCCAGGGTGGGGACGGGAGCACTGCAGGGTGACAGATGTGGGGGTGAGGGGACCATCTCCTGTGTGCCCACAGAGGGGGCCTGGCAGTGCAGGTAGAGATCCTGCAGCGCAGGGGAGAGGAAGCAGAAAGAAGGCAGGGGAGCAGCAGGTCCCAAGAGGGTTGGGGTGAGGACAAAGGCAGCAGTAGAAGCTGGCGATAGTGGTGGCCAGGGGAAAGAGAGTCCTCCGAAGGAGCAGCATGGGGATGTTGTGGGGCTTGGGCATGAGCCACGAGGATGGCAATAGCAGGGGGGTAGATCTGGGGTGCAGGAGCTGGAGGAAGTTGTGAGGAGAGGCTGCATCACTATCGAGGACTACTTGTTTTAAAAACAAGCAAACCCCCAAACAAATCAATTTTTGTGGGCTTTTTCTGTGGGCCAATGTGGCATTTTGTCTGAGCTGTGGCTCCTTGACCCACTTGGGGAGAGATGTCATGGAAGAATAGCGAAGACAAGTCCTCATCCTCCTGGCTGCAAAGAGCTGGCATTCTCTGTTCTTTCACAGAGCCTTAGTGGGAGCTGGAGGGTTTCTGGGTGGTTTGGAGAAACTCCTGGGAATTTTAAAATTCTTTCAGGAAAAGGAGAAAGGGTGCTGAATGTTTAGGAACTTATTTCCAAGTGTTAAGTAGGCACTAAAAGCCAAAGCTTTTGAGGCAAATTGAATTAAAAGCACTTTTAAACAGGTCTGAAACTCAGGGTTTGCATGATGTTTTAATTCTCTACCTAGTAACCTAGAGTGAAGAGGCCTCGAATTCTGCTTTTGGGGGAGAAAAAACTCAACAAACTGAGGTTTAACATACAATTATCGAGGCACATGAAGGAACACTGGGGGCCTCCTTTCATGCCAGAGAGCCACCAGATGGTGGGATGTGCCAGCCATGCAGCCCTCCCACATCACCCTCAAATGACAGTCAGGGAGTGAGGTCTCCTGATACCACTGGGGACTTTTTGGGTGCACTCTTGGGAAGCCCTACCCAAATGAGAGGGCCACTTGATGAGCAATGAAGTGTTTCCCCCACTCTCAAAGTTGGGGTTGTCCCTACTGGTCAGTGCCTGGCTCCATCCTGCTTGTGGCAGGAGCTGACATCGAGGCATTCCCATCCCTGGGCCCCGTGGCCACCTCTCTTGCTGGGTTAATGCCCCAGGAAGGTGCCAACCTCTGAGCCTGGTGGTGCTTGGATGGTGGTATCTGCCCATCTCGTGCTGGGAGCCTGGGAACCTTTGCTTGCCTGAGTAAGTGTGGCAATTTCTGTCCCTCCAGTCTGCTGGGAGAATGTCAGGACTAGCCCTGATTCGCTTCAGTCACAAGAACTGCATTGTCTTAACTTGTGCCAACTCTGTTTCTAATTACATTTTAATCATTTAAAAATGATTAGCAGTTTTTATTGCCTTGTTTGTGGGTAAATTTTCTCACCCCACACATTCTAGCTGCACTCCAACGACAAGTCCTTTTATAGGCAAAAAAGCCCCCAAACGTCCACATGACTATTTACCTACAGCATATTTTATTCCTTCCTAAATTTTAATACTTTCAGGGTGCCAAGGCTCTTGCATTTTCTGGTGGATCAATTGTGGTATTGTGCTGTAAAATTAAGCAGTTTTTTTTGGCAATGCCAAACAATGTAACTTCCACCAAAATGAAGATACCGCACATGTGTTAACTGTGAAAAGTTTCAACCCTGAATAGTTGCCTTGAAGCTTTTTGCGGTGAAAAGAATTATGTATTTTCCTCTCTTTGAAAACAAAATTATTATTTTTTTTTAAAACCATGTTTAAACAGGCTGTTTTTGAAAAAGGCCCCTTTTTTTGTTATCTTTACTGTGGTTAGTTGCTTTATTGCTAATCTTGGTGGGTAACTGTATATTATTCACTCTATTGTTCAGCAACACAAGAGAACCTTTGTCATACTCCCAATAGGGCTATTTATATAGTGTGGCACTTCTGAGGGCTTCTTCCTGCCCTGATGTTCTTCCACCTTCTGGGGAAAGGAAAATAGTTCATCTGAGAGGGAGAGTGAGCGGTGGTCGCTCCTGACAGCTGCTGAAATACGGGTGATGTGCGGGTCCCTGGGATGCCATTGGGAACAAGCTTCGTGGTTTCCAAAGATTTGGTTGTGTGTGGTTGAGGTTTACCAGAAAGTTTATTGAACAGAGAGATGTGCTCAGGTCTGGCCAGAGAGAGCAGCCAGGGTGGTCCTCACTGCCTGTCACTTGGTGCCATCTTGGGATGGGTCCCTGCAGCCCTCACCCTACAGAAGCTGCCCAGGCTTCACCCAGCAGGTCCTTGGGGACCAAGAAGGGCTTGGGAAGCTCAGGAGCTTCTTGATTTTTTTTTTTAGTTCTTTGAAGCCTTGACTTCAGCGAGGGATTGTCTGTTAAGGGACATCAACAAACAGGAGCTTTCCCTGCAAGATAGGTGTTTCCTCCCTGGAGCGGGTGGATGGGGGAAAGCCGAAGGCTTTGTTCACCTTTGTAGCTGTGACTTGATCTTGTGGGTAAAGATGGGACTTCCTCTGGTGGGGAGACCAGGACAGCCCTCATATTGCCCAGCCAGAGCTCTGGATGCACGAGGAGGGATTCCCACCCCGAGCATGAACGTGCATATTGCCTATACTTACCTGCAATGTATTTATGGCTCCTTACAGACAGTAACCCCTGACAAGGAATCATCACAAACAACAATTTCACTTCTCTTAGGAAACAATGAGGCACCTTAGTTCAAAAGAATCCCAGCCTTGAGGTCAGCCATGGAGCAGTGCTTTGGGAGACGGAGCTTATATTTCACATGCCTGCTTTGTATCTGACCTGACGCAGGGCACCAGCCGCCAGAGCAGTGCTCTCCATGGCATTAGTGATCATTAACATGCTCGGAAAACTTGGGGAAACAGGCACGCTTGAGCATAAAAAGCTGCTGCTGATGGCGCTTGCATTTTAGCTCCCCCATTAACCAGTGTTTCTTAGAGGGAGAATAATTGTGCTTTTGCAGTTTCGGGGGTGGGGGGGGGGAGGTTTCCCAGTAGCTGAGAGCTGTGTAGAAGCAGGAATATCTTGTGGATGTGTAACATAAGCATTAAGCAAATGTAAAAACCAGGCTCAGCAGGAAAAAAATCTGCTTTATTTTGTGTGCCAGCATATGCGGGACAACTGTTAAACCCTATGGAAAAGAGGCTGCAAATAGGCAGGTCTCCCTGTTTTTGGCGATCCTTGAATTATTATTTGTGAAAGGGGCAAAACCCCTCTCTTTTTATATTTTCCGTTGCTAACCAGCTGTGCAAGAAGTTAAACATAGTAATTAACCCATATGTGACCCACTACATTTGACTGATTTCCAGGCAGGGCCGGCGCGGTAACTCTACCCGGCAATTTGAACCTACCATGTTCGTAATGATGATTTTACAGTGTAATGGTCGCACTAAATCCTTTCGCTTTTGCTCTGTAGCCGCTGTTGTGACAAGAAAAGCTGTGGCAACAGAAATGAGACTCCATCAGATCCAGTGATAATTGACAGGTAAGGACTGCTATTGTTTCCTTCCATTTTTTTTTTTTTTTCCTCCCTCTCCTCATTATAATGAAACACCTGCCCTGTGTTGCTAATGGGGAGGAATTAGGAGTATATACGGATGAAATTTTGTTTTTGATACCGCATTAGTTGTGCTTTGCAATTGTGATTGCCTTGGAAGGACCATATGCGGGATAATGTTGGGATAACGGAGCGCCCTGCTCTGTGGAGGGCTCCAGCTCTTGTAACTGATTCATGTGCATAAAGAGGAGATTTTTCTTTCTGACTTTCTGTGACTCAATTCACATGCTATGCCAGGGAAGCTTCAGGAATAAAATAATAATAGTTTGTGATTTATGAAATGTGGTTGGGTGCTTATAAATATTTAACTTTTATTTGAAAAATGTTTGAATCATTATCACTTAGCTACTGTAATTCTGTTGGATGCAATCCATCTACATTTTAAGGCTTTTATTTATGCATAAAAACAGTTAAGAAAATAGATCTGCAATGTAAGGTTTTTCCCCTCCTCTTATTTTCTTTGGTTGGAATACTATTTTGACTGTATTGTCAGTTGATTAATTCATTTTTGCCTGTCTTAATTATTGTGTTTTTAAACAGATCCATATTGCTAATCTGACATCACTGAGTAAATCATTGTAGTACAATACAATTTCAGTTGTTCAGAGCCATGTGTAGTTTCTGTGCTTGCAAATTATGCAAAATGGTAGCCAAAGAGCCATTTTTACATTTTAATTGTCCAAATGCGTTGTACAAAGCCGCGTGTGATAACCAGGTTATTATGCAGCATTACTCTAGAGGAGTTAAATGGCCATGAAGCACTGAAAGTGTCTGTCATCAGCTGGGGAGAGCAACACCCTTGCGCTGATCTGTGAATAGAGGGACCCTGAAGGGAACTACCTGAACACAGAGGGGTGAGAGCACAGAGCAGGGGGCTTCTCCTGGCTTTCTTGTCTCTGTTTGCTGTATTAAGTTTAAAGTATCTTCCATGCCAGTGCATCCATTTTATGAAAGGAAGTGAGGAGGGTTTGATGTGTTGGGTGCCCCCCATGGAGAGCGGTCCAGGGGCATCGCAGAGCCTTGTGCTCATCCCAGCTCCCAGTCTTACAGTTCCTGGTTGAATGTGGTAAGAAAGTGCATATATTGGAAGCTTATTGCAGATGTTTTGATTAGCTGTAACAAGTAGTCCTGAGAATGTTTAAATCTCAGAAGATACCTCTATTTATTTTAACTGGGCATATTTTCATCTTCTCTGAGCGTTAGGTAATACCAGAGATAGTGTGTGGGGGGAAAACCCCCCAGTGAAATCTGTACAGAGCTGTGTTTTATAAGCATGCTGCAGAGTTGAACACTATAAACATGGTGTTAGAGTGGCATTTTGAGCGACATGAAAGCTACAAAATTCACATGAATTTTTCATTGTACTGGGAAGTGAGATGTTAAGATGCTAATGGCAGGTTTACAGAAATATTTTGTTTAACTATCTAGTATGCAAAACTGCTAGTTGCAAATCATTTAAAATTTTGAAAGCCAGGAATGCTTTCTGTTACATGTTTCCTGCAAAAGGAAGAAAACAGGTATAGGAAAAAAACAGCTTTATCTTCCTAGCGGTGATCCATTTCTCAGTCTTTACATAAATTGATGCAATAGATACCAATTTTGAAGTTTCTTTTTAAAATGCAAGCTAAACATAATTTAAAGCTGATAATACAAACCCTACCTCACCACCCGCACTGAATGGTGCTTTGCTTGTGAACGGGTTAAGCTTTTAAGTTCTTCACTTGGTTTTTAAATTGTGACTTTGATACAGAAGGTTGATATGACTGTGGTTTGAATAACACTTGATTTTGACCTGTTCCTGTGGGTTGCAATGGTATAAGAAATTTGACTCAGCAGTACTGTAATTAGCCCTCCCCATGTTTTTGAAACAGGATTGTGTTACCTGGATTGCATTAGTGTGGCTTCTATTGTTGCCGCTTCGCATCTGTCCCAGTAGGGTACTTAAAACCTTTTCTTGGCCGGGGCTGGTTCAAACAATTTAGGCCAAGTAAGTATGTGCTTTATACAGTTAGTGGCTTTAGTGATGTTTCTTGTGACATTTATCCTATTCATTTTTTTCCTCCCCTTTGGTTTGGAAAGGATGAAGTGATCTGTGTGGAGCCTTTTTACCTTAAAACGAGTCCTTTAAACTTGTTCTATGATTAAAACGCCTGCACAAGTCGGATCATGTGTTTGGTTGTACTCCATTGTCGCTTCTCCGCGCACGCAGTTTTTAACTATTGTGTCAATTGATATGCAAAGCCATATTTAGATATTTTTATTTGCATTGAGCTTAGAGAATTCATTTACCATTTGGGCTAAAGCACTCCCACATGCCTTACTCTCTGATGAAGTCTCTGCCCATGGATTTAATCTAACTCTTGCGTCAAATCCTGCGAATCCGCAGACTCTGACCTGACATAGAGTTTGACATAGAATCTATCCATGGGATTTTTGACTTATGTACTTACATGGAAATGCTATCCTCTTCTGACAAGCTGGAGTAGTATTTTGGATTGATTAATTCTCTTTGATGAGGTTAGAGAGACTTGGGATAGGGAGAGCTCTGGCTTTGTGGTGGTTTGGTGAACTTGGAGAAGAGGCTGTTTGGCAACTTCAAAGTTGCATGAGTTGTATTCTTTTTCAAACCCTGGATATACATGAAAAGCAAATCATATATTTCCATTTAATCAAAATGTGGGATTTTTTTTTTTAAAGTATGTTGCTGTGTTTGAAACAGGATATGACTTTATCCTTTATAAAATTTTGTCACACTTTGCTTTATTACAGTATTAGCAGATAGACCAGTGAAAGGGACTAAAGAAATTTTTGCTCATATAGTGATCTAAATTTTCTTTGGAGAACAAAATAAATGTATTATACTTATAGAACAGTAATTCCAAGGAAGTTTCTTGGAAATCTGTGTGTGTCTGTATCATCTTCTTAGCATAGCCTGTATATTTTATTGCTAATCCAGTTACATGTGTTGAGATGAAGATCTGATGAACAGGAACTCATTTTAAAAGGGGTATTATTGTCACAATACAAATGCACAATTCCCCCTTCGAGTGCAGTGGCAGGGCTGTATTGTAATCACACTTAAAGAAAACACAGAGCACTTCCTGTTATTAAATTAAATTCTAGATTGATTTAACTTTCAAATTGTAACTCATATTTGAATTTAAAAGGTTTGCAATAAAATTCCTGTGAAGAAATCGAATAAATTGTAGTTTTATTACCACTCTGGATATCCTGGTGTCCTAACCTTTTTCCTTACAGTTATCTTAGTTCAATAAATAAAACCTCATTAGACTATTCCCATTTCAACGAGTTTATTAAATTTTACAGGAGTAATTAGCATAAGCTGTGCTAATTTTTCTGGAAGACTAATGAGAGAGCTTCCTAATTAGGTTTGCTTTGTAAGAATCAGAAAAGATGATAATGACAAAAGTCACATAGGGGAGAAAGTGGGACTTTATGTTATTCCTTGGTTGAGGAAAGAGACTCCTCTCTCGACACACTGTTCCAAACTTTTAAACCCATTTTACCATTGTCAGGACTGATATTTAATGGTGTTACCAGTGCCTGCTGGGGCTTCTTTACCTTTTATGGCTGCATCCAGTAAATAGGAATCCTACTGACTGATAAAATAGGAATAACTACTGCAACCCCAAATATAGTGGCAGAAAAAATATATGCACCATATATATCCTATACCTCCAGCTTGTGACATTGCATGGAGAAAGGGCTGAAAACAGCCTGATTGGCAACTGCTGGTTCATCCCAAATTCTCCTTCTTCCCAGAGTACTTGAGCAGGCTGATGACAGTGACCTGGAATTGTCTTTGCTGAGATTTACCAATACAGACAAGACCTACTTAGGAAATCTGGCCAGTGTCTGTCTTTTGGATAGATCACCTTTAGCCAAGTGGCTCCTTGCTGGAGATCCCCTGGGTGACACTGAATGCCCTTCAGGGGCAGGACACCATGGGCATGGCCAGGATCTGCTCTGGCAAAGCACTGAAGTTCTTCATGTGCCGCTTCTAATTCAGTTTTGGAGCAGTGAGGCTCCTCTGTCTTTGAAGATGTTTGTGCCTTTCTAGTTCCGTCAGAGTTCATGTCCATGAAGCTGGGGGGGGGGGGAAGGGAATTGCAGATCGAGGGCTGTAATATTTTCTCTGCCTTATTATCAGATGACACCAAAGCATGTTTTAATGCATGACCTGCTACCAGTGTCTGAAGGGCCTGTGTGCTTCCGACACCTGCTGTACAGGATGCTCGGCTGGGCTCTCCCCAGCACACCCAGCTTCTGTGGCTGCGGAGGGAGCCAACTTACCTACAGATGGTTTTGAAATCTTTCAGCCTTTAACTTGAAGAATTTTATGTTTGTGGGTAGGATTTCACTGTGCAATGACATGAAAAGTCAATGTCTCTGTTTTACCGCTTTACGAGTCGTCACGTAGTGGATTGTATTTTACAGGCCTGATCATCTTTTCAGCCTAAATACCAGGAAGGTGAAAAAGTGATACAGTGGACTGTATCACACTCCCTGTATCCTTCCCCCAGACACACTGGTTAGGCAGATGTGGCGATTAATGCATTTTGCAGTAGCTTTCCATGCCTGGAGGGAGAGTGATGGAGATGCAGGCAGAGCCTGCCAGCTTCGGGAGAGGTGCTGGCAAGGGAACAAGGTGGGTTTTGCTTGGGAGGGAGCTGCTGAGGATTTCTTTGCTGCAGGGAATGGCATCAGTGCTGTAGCTGATCCCCACCAGGCTACAGGGATGTGGGCTCATCACACAGCAAAGTGGCAAGAGATGTCAGGTGTTTTGGCAGGGGTTTCTTCTCAGGAGTCTCAGTTCCTGCCCTATCCTGGTCATATCCTTGTCCCCCTGACCATATTGGTACCACAGCCTGGCTGTGTGGGGTCAGGGGAAGGTGTGTGTGCTGCTC